TGCTTGGAAGACCTTGCTTGTCACTGGTTAGCCACCTTCTTTGTCAATTTTATCATAGAAAATACCTTTGATCTGTTCACCTAACACCCTCCATCTGTTGCATTGTTCATGAACTGATATATACCAAACCTTTGTATTTCACATGGATCCCAAAGCATGTTGATTGTTACCAACTCAGTGCGCTTGTTGTTCTTTTCCTGACTCATGCCACTTTGATATGATAGCCAGATCCCGTTTTGTGCAATTGGAAAGCTGGTGGCAAATTTAGAAGTCATTTCTCACTTGTTCTGACCAAATAGACTCATGAAGAGGAAGTAAACAAGACAAAAGGAACAAAGTAAAGGACAAAGGAAAGAGATGATTCCTAACAAGAAAACTACAAAGTAGAAACTTATCAGATGTGGATACCAACTCTAATGACAATGACATGCACCCGTGGATTAAGTGGCCTAAGTCTGATGTTCAACTCTTGTTGTACCTCTAAAACGTGAAACTGGGCTTCAATGCTCTGATTATCCAATATGATTCACGATCCTTATTCGACTTGTGGTGCCCGAAGGGTTTTCACCATCAAGCCTCTCTCATTTTATTGTTTCTCTCAACTTATCATTGCCTTATGGTGCCTGTGAAGGTTTTCACCGATAAGACTCTCTCATTTTGTTTTTCTTGTGCAGCACAGAGTGTTGCCCCTGATGTGAATCATACCTCTAACTTGCTTGACTTGGCATTACTCAAAGATTGATTAGAAGATCTTTGTTTGGACCGTAATGCGGGCTTTTGGATGGGGTTAGAAAGAAAGGATAAAGGCTCAAAAACAGCTTAAAAGGGCTCAAAATTACAACTTTTGAAATCATATCTCTTACAGTAACCACAACTTCTGTCCCAGTTTCTTTGCTTGGGGTCTTTTGAATTTTATTTTGATATGATCGAAACGTGAGGCTGCCTACGTATCCATAAAAGGAATCAGGTCGAACGTAGTTCATGACATACAGATTGCTTTGTTTTTGTACTCTTCTCTCTTTTTTTCTTTTCTTTACTTTTTTCCCATTTTTCTTTCTCCTTTTTTCTTATTTTCCTTTTTTCTCTCTTTTCTTTTTTTCTATTCTTTCCTTTTCTTTTCTCTTCTCTTTTATTTACTTCTTTACTGAATTTTGCTACTGATTCCAAAAGAAGGTATGAAAGGAAATAAATAAGTCTCAAAGGGGTAACAAAGGATAAAATGTTTAGATAGAAGAACAAAATGCCTTCGTCATTCCAATCCTCAAAACATGCCAAGTATAAACAAACACAATTTAACCAAAGAAATCATACATAATATCTTTTGACTGCATCAGAATTGATAGCCATATCTACAGATTTGCCTTCTATATCTGTTAAATATGAAGCACCATTGGACAACACTCTCATTACGATGAACGACCCCGGCCAATTTGGGGCCAACTTGCCTTTAGCTTCAACCCGATGCGGCAGGATGCGCTTCAATAGTGTTTCTTTATGTTCTATCTGCCCCAATTTCACACAATTCGAGCTTTGTGATCTCAAAATCCCTTCACTTATTTCCATCAAATGTCCATATCATCTCCCAAATTACTTCATGATTAAAATAACTTTTAGAACCAGGCTGAGAGTAACGCGTGCATTTCATGTCACTAGAGTCCACATGGAAATGACTAATAAAGAAAAGAGACCTAAAGAAAAATGACTAGAAATAACAGAAAACAGAAAATTGCATTAGAAAGATGGTGAAAAGGTTTGAACAACAAAACAAGCAAACTAAACTAGGGTTACAACCCTGGAATAAACCTAGACAACACTAAACGAGCTACTACGACTAAACGAACTCGGCAAAATAAAAGGATAGAAGGGTGTGAGTCACAAGACAATATCCGGATTACAACCCTGAAAATAACCCGGACAACAAAAATGACAACAAAATAAACTGCCAAGACTCCTCCCCATCTAGCTAAGAGAGGAGCGTCTTTCCAATTACCAAGCTCTGCATCTTAGCCACTGAGTTCAATATCAACATTTCTAGAGCCTTCACAAGTCTTCATCCCATTGTCCTTAGAAAATTGCTTTTGGGTCCCTTTGGCCGGCTTGTTCTTATGATCAACTTTTGGATCCAAGAGTGATAGCGCTGAAAGCCTTGCAGCAACTGGCCCTCCGCGGATCTCAGAATAGTTCTCATATTCCTCTTCCACACAAATCATGTCCTCCATATGCCTTTTATTGTGAACATGCAATGGACTTTGGCTAGTATCTGCTGCATTTGAATTTTGCACGGTAAGGTCACCTGCATCAATAAGCTTCTGAATCACATTCTTCAGGTGCCAACACTTTTCTGTACTGTGACCCGAGGCATTGGAGCAATATACACACCTTTGAGAAAAATCAAACTTCTTTGGTAGAGGGTTTGACATTTTTATTTGATTCGGCTTCAACATATCCAATTGCCTCAACATTTGGAACAAACTGGCATATGATTCTCCAATAGGGGTGAAAGCCTTTTCTTTTTTTAGTAGTCTTTTCAATTTGTATTCTGGCCTCAGTTGGAACCTTTTGCGAACAGGTGGTTGAAATGCCTGAGGGGGTGGGTAAGACATTTATGGAAGTGGTGCGGGCCATCGCGGGCCTCGTGGATATGGAGCATATGGTGGCGCATTGTGGACGGGGTATCGGGAAAGTGATGTACGATTTTGGGGGTTCTGTGGAGAGAAGTAGTAGTGGGGAGGATTACAAGGATATCCGCGGGGTCGATATTGAGGCTGAAAGCGTTTAGCATGAACTACCACTGGACACTATCGTTGGCAGGGATCAACAACATCTTTTCTATCAATGGGAGGACTATCCCGAGCAACTTGTTCGTTCCATCTGAGCCAAAAATCCTTAAAACTTTCCTTGGGTTTCTTTTCCATCTGGGATAGGGAGGAGCGGTCTGGGACAAAGTCTACATTACACTGAAAGCGTCGCACAAAATCTTGAGCCACATAACCCAATGTGTGCCACTTACCGACATCTTGACGATTATGCCATTCCGAAGCTGCCCCAGTCAAGCTTTCAGTGAAATACACCATCAACAAATCATCTTTCTTGCCAACACTTATCATTTCACTGAAATAATCCATCGAATGGGCTACCGGATCTCCACACCCATCATACAAGTTAAACTTTGGCACTTTAAACCCTGCGGGCAGGCGAACGTCAAGGAACGTACACAACTCTTTGTAAGATATGTTAACCTGGTCTCCCGTCCCTTGCATGTTCTTTAAAGACTGTTCTATGCTTTTCAGCTTCCCGGTTATCTCATCTCTCCCTTCTTTCCTGTAACTTTTTCATTTTCAGCATGAAGCTCATCCCGAGGGCTCTTCTTATATGAGTCAGGAACCTTGTGGGAAACCTTTGAGGGGTAATATTGGGCATCATGAGCTTTGAGTGGGTACTCATTGTTGGAAATAGTGGATATGACAGGAGGGTAATTTTGGGGAGAGGTAATTGGAGGATGAGTGATGGAGCTGCTAGGGTGGTTGGGAATGCTGTGATAAACTAGTGGATCTAGAGAGTATGGGGGATCATCTGACACTATGACCAGAGTTTGGGTAAGGGTAGAATCTAAGAAGCTAGGTGGTGGCGGGGGTGGTGCATTCCCAATCATCCAGGCCTAATACATGTCCATCATGTGTTATTATAACATCCTTACCTCATCAGCCAAACCAGTGTCCTATTCAACCAACTGCTTTCGGGCACCTGTATCAACCGACCCAATTCTGTTGCCGTCTTCCATTGCCTTTCGACCTTATCTTGTAGAGAAGAGTTACCACATTAAGAACCACAAACCAACCACCTTTCTGCGAAATGAAGATAACGAAAAGGAACATAATGGGGTCATCCTGTTAGCGTTAGGGCATTTAACAGTAAAAATATCACATTGCGTGTAATGCACCTAGCAATAATTAACGGTTCTAGAATGACTTAGAGGGTATGAAGGTCGTATGGAATCATCCCAATTTGTTCATTTCAATCCTCTCCTTTCTTTGCTTTTCTAACACTTCTTAGCTCTCTCATTTTCTTTCCCCTTTTTCTTTCTGATTATCGCTCTTTTTCTTCCTTCTCATTTCTCACATTCTATAATTTCACCATCTTTTTTCTCTTTTTTTTTCTTTCTTTTCTTTTTTTTCTTCTTTTTCTTTTTTTCTTTTTTTTCCTTTTTTTATTTTAATAATATAAAAAATGATTCGATCGAACCCTATGTAGGCTGCCTACGTATCATAACGCCGCATGAATTAGATCTTTGCGTAGTTCGGGAAAATCAGGAATAAAGGAAACAAACTAACATTCTCAATTTTTTTTACCTTAATGACTAATCCGATGAGAAAAGAGAAATAAAAGAAGCAAAACCTTTTTTTGAATTTTCTAGACTTAATGTTCTATAACCTATTCTAAACTCAAGCTTAACAGATTTTTTTTCTTTTTCTTTTCTTTTTGGAAACAAATACTCTATTAAGGAAAAATCCTAGAAGAGAAAGATATTTTTTGACTCCTTTTTTTTTTGAATTTTCATTTGATATCCCTGAAGAAAAACTTCGTAACGAGAAATGAAAAAGATAAAAACTGTTTTTGGATTTCAATTTTTAATTACCTAAAGAAGAAATTTTTAAAAATAAACAGAAGATAAGGTATCTTATTTCTTCTATGTACAATGTCCTAAATCTAGTAAAAATAAAAGAATTTTTTTTCTATTCATTTTTCATTAATTTCGCAAAGAAAAAACCTCAAAAGAAAATTTTTGCGGATTTTTGGAATCAATATCTTAGAAAAAACCTTTAAAGAGGTACTAAAAAACAAAAATTCTCTTTTTTTAGTCCTAATATACTAAAGGAAATATAAAAATAAATTTTTATTTTAAGTTCTAGATATTAATTGCCTAAAGGAAGAACCACATCAAACGATTTTGTTTTCAATTTCTAGGAGTAGTATTCCAGAAGAAAATTCTAACGGAAATATAAAAACACAAAATATCCTTTTTTTTGGATTTTTGATTTATAACACATCTTTTTCCAATACAAAAATGAAATACCCAACATTACTATACAAACTAGAAGGTAAAAGACGACCTAAATAAAACAACAGACTCAAAACATAATAACTAAAAAAAAATCTCCTTAAGCAAACTCCTGAATGGATGGTCCTAAGGCGTTTGTCATGCCCAAGCTTTTGTAAGTAGATCCACACCTGTATGAGAAAACAGAAACCAACACTATGTGAGACAGTAACATTCCTTACTAGACACATGTCAGACATGATTGAAGCTATTTCTGCAAAATTAACCTATGCGGCTAAAAGTGGATAAAATGCAAGATTTGGCTAAGACCCCGCGAAGCCAAGAACCTAAGACTTACTAGGAAGATCGGACCCTATATGAGTTACCTACGTATCCCGCCCCGAGAGATGAGAATCAGGTTCGTGTAGTTCGGGCAGATTGGATACGGCGAGAATTAAAACAAAAACAACTAATTTAGAGAAAACATATTTTTGCCTTTTCCTTGAAAATGAGGAAAAATGCAACATCTTTTTTTTGGATTTTCTTTTTCCTTCTTTTTTTTGAATTTTTTATTTTCGAAAAATGATGAAAAAGTGCAAAATCCTTTTTTTTTGAATTTTCAAGCTTTTGTTTTAACAAAAATGTGACAGAAAACATAATAGGCCCCATTCGCTTTATCTTCACACTTCACTCTCTCTTTTTCTTTTTTTCTCTTTTTTTTTTTAATTTGCCCTCAACTATTATTGGTCCACCAAATGACCTTTTTACCCTGGAAAATTGCAACATGTAGCACATAGGATGCAATAGGATGGTCTTTTTATTTCGGGTACACCTGTCCTAGACAGACCCAACCCCTGTGTTGAGTCTCCAAAGTCAAATGCATATGATGCAAACAAACATTCCTACTAGGGATCCAGCATGAGGCTGAGTTATTCTAAGTATAAAACCTGGGTATACTGTTCTAGACTTGTGCACCCGAGCAACAACTCGAGCCAAGGAGGGGGCTACGTACCGGGAACCAAAAGGCCATCCGGCTTTGTAACTTGTTCGAGTTTCTTTATTATTTCAAGGTATGACACTAATAGAATAGGGAGTCACGTCAGCGTGCACATCCCTGAAGATGAGAAGAGAAGGGTTTCATATCAGTTTATATACAATTCAGATAATATCAAAGCGGTAAAAAGTAGCACTTAGCACATTAGGCCCAAACATGTGAATAAAATCAGATAATAAATAAAGACAAATACAACAATTATTCTAAGCTCGAATTCTGAATCCTGAACCAGAGATTCTGGGTTCTTACTCCGCAACAGAGTCGCCAGAGCTGTCACACCTCCTTTTTCCTACACTCCGGAAGGGAGTATAAGGGAGTTTTTTCTAACTTAAAGTGCCAATCGAAACGGGATTATTTTATTAAAAATTTAGAGTCGCCACTTGGGATAATTTTATGGTGTCCCAACTCACTGATTTCAAATCCTGAATCGACTAAAACGTTGACTCTATTTTATAGTCCGCGAACACAGAAATCCGAGTAAGGAATTTTGTTAACCCAGGAGAAAGTGTTAGGTATTCCCGAATTCCGTGGTTCTAGCACGGTCGCTCAACTATTATAGTTGGCCTATTGTCTTATTCTAATACATGTTTTAACCCTATACAATTTTAACTTTATAACCGCTTTTGTTTAATTATTTTTAGGAAAGATTCAACATCATCTAAAATACGTCTGGAACCACGTCATATAAATGCACCCGTGGTTCACGACACATTTTATCTAACGTTGTTGAGATTTGGATTTGGGTCACATAAATGCACACCCGAGTTTAGGAAGGTAATTTTTAAAATAGCGCGCCTAAAGCAACTACGCATCTTCAAGCTACCATTTGAGATAAAACGACATAATCACATGAATAAATATTTCGCTAGCTAAACCAGTAAGGGAGCTCAACAGCTAAATGAAATAAATTGTAAAAAAAACGTACTTCATTCACACAAATTTTATAGAGAACAAAAGCATGTAGTCATAAGTATAGACACGTTTGAGAGGCTTACATATATATGTCAGAATTGAAAAAGACTCCTATATATGATTTCATTTTTTTATAATATATATGCTTATACTACACAGTTGGAGAGGTAAATGAGCAATATGTGCTTCTTTTATGTTTTATTATTATTTTTGCCTCATTTAGCTACACCTCTAGCAGAGACATATTTTGATGCCATTGCCAAGTTAGTAAAGAAAAGCACGGTCAGAACTACTTACTAGCATTTGATATAAAAATAATTTTGTCACAAAATTACCACCGAGCAATGTATCTTGTGGCCAATTTTAATAATAATAAAAAATATTAAAAAAACAAACATAAAATCATACAATTGAATCAAGAAAAATAAGAGCTAGCTAGAGTTATACAAGCTAATACCAACTAAAGAGCTGACGACATGTTCTAAGTTAATTAAATAATATGAAAAATAAAGATAGCTACCGACAACTTTTCAGTAAAATCACCATTGCCGCATGACTCTCTTATTCAAAAATGCAGCGTCAGAAGCCAATACATATTGTCATAATCTCAAAACAAATCAGATCCGGGCATACGAACAGAAATACATACCTAGCTGTTCGAAAATTGGCTAAAAACACCAAATGAATAGACGAAAGGACCAAATGAAGCTCAACAAGACACCAACTCCGTGGCTCAAAACAACCTTTAGAAACCCAGAAAGAAAGGAAAATTTCGAAACCAGTCCCCTTCAAATCCCATTGAGAATTCCAGTTTTCTCATTTCTCTTGTTTCAACAATTTTGTGTGTGCTTCTGATTTCTTTTCTTTTTTTTGATCGATTTCTTTTTTTTTTGATTTTTTGAGTGATGTTAGAGATGGGAGGCTAAGGTTTTTTTTGGAAGGGGAGGATTTTGTTCTCTTTATCTGTGTTTTTTTAGAAATGAAGAAGAAGGAGAACGAAAGGGAAGGTGTGCCGTTTTTCTTTTTTCTTTGTCTAGAAGGGAAGAGGTCTCAAGTGTATGAAAAAATCTGATGCCTTTAGGCCTAGGTCTTGCCTTTTATAAAAAAAAAAGAGTTTGGGTCAAGAGCGTATTGGATATGGTATTGGGCTTGGCTAGTGGGAATTGGGTCAATTTGAATTCTAACCCAATTTTAGAAGAAACAAGACCAGCGATACATTCTTCCTAATTTCTTTTTCTCCTTTTTCTTTTCTTTAATTAATTAATCTATTTTTGTAGAAATTAAAATTCTATATTTATTTTTAATATTAAAACAACTAATTAACTTTAAACTAAAGGAAAATGCTAATTTAAAACACTAAAAGTTAAATATGTAAAAATGACAAATTTTTAAAATTTTTTCTATGATTTAAAAATATTAAAAATGCATAAAATGCAAATAAATAAAGAAAAATTCCTAAAATCAATAAAAATTATTTTTGGTCTATTTTTAGGAGTTATTTTCATGTAGGGCAAAAATCACGTGCTCACAACAGGACCCCGAAACGAAGTGGGGCTCACCAAGTCAGCTGAAAGGATGATGTGGCACTAGCTGCGACCAATACTGCCTGCTATAGAAACACCTACATCCATTTAAAGACATAGCGTCCCCAGCAAAAGGGACGTTAGTGCCATCGAATAGCACTAGTATGTATAACTATGCAGCATCTCGTTAGAAAGAACAACCATACAAGGACAAAGAAATCATAAGGATTCAACAAAAGCTTTAAACAATCACTACATCATCAAATAAAAGGAATCACATACCTTTCACATAATTTCCATAGCTTTAGTTTGGGCTTTTAATACTGTTCATCATCATTCACAATACCATCGCTTTCTTGAGTGGAGTCTGATCACAACTCGATCGGCTAAGCCGTCTTTCAAGACGTTACCCTTATTTCAGTCTCACTTGAGACATACACTTTAATCACAATCTCATTTTCCCTTTTTATCCGGGATTCAATATCAAAACAATACCACCATGTGTGCGGCATGGCGTCCGATCTCGGCCCGATCGGCTAGACCGCCTTACCAAGGCGTTTCCGTTTTCCATCAATCATCTCAATTCAACCATTATTTCACATATGCCATTTCATATGAACTTGGGGCCACAGCTATCACGTCATATATTTGGCACTAAGACACATTTCACATTATTCCAAATTTCAATGTTAGATTTGTCATTTAGGATAATATGTGCACACAAGAGCAAATAAATTATAAGCATAGATGAGACTTCACATAGAGGACACAACATATGCAGCTTCAATCTCAATCTAAGGTCTAAGCATTTCAGTACATGATTCATATTCCTTGCACCCTTTAAAGTTATCAAGAATAACACGTTTATTATATTGAGACACATCTTTCACGCATATAAGGTCGCAACCCCAAATTCATGTGAAACAACAATCAATACAACAATTCAACTTTAATCTTACCGTATATACACAAACACCGATGAAACTCAATTTCTAAAAGACGAGGATTTAGCCATACATACCTCAAATTAGTAACTTAATGATACTACAATGATCCAATACACTTAAGCAACTTCAATCTACAATATAATATTCAATGGGACCAATATTAGTACCAAATTCCATAACTTAAGCCATTTAGGCATATTATCAAACACCTTGTAGGTATAGATCTTTACATCTCATAACCATAGAATTAGTTCATCCAACTACTACAATTTATTAACAATTCATCCCACCATTATTCTTTAACAATTTATACTCCTAGCATCACATGTGTGATCAACCATTCACATCCAACCAACAAAATTCCATCAAATAATCACCATTAAATCCCTACCATGATAATGTATTTAAATTGGGGATTTATGGCTTTCAATCACCATACCATAAGTTGTAATACTTGATTCATACTCATAATTCCATAATAACTCCATATATGTAACTCTAAGGGTAAAAGATTGCCTCTTGTAGACCAAATCTTGAAAGACAACTTTGGGGTGTTCTTGAGATTTTGAAGAAATATTATAAAATCCAATCAAAATCATGTTGTAACTATTGGTTGAGAAGTTAAATCACCATGAAAACACACCTAAAAACTCACCTTAGGTGTGCAATTGGATGCCTTGGTCGGCTTGGGAATGGAGAGGATGCCCTAGTCTTGAAAAATGACTTAAATCCTCTCATTATCCGTCCTTAGGTGTATTTAGAGGTCTGCCACTAGCGCGCCCGTGCTAAGGCCGCTCTCACGAGGCAGAATACTTCTCAATATGCGTGGCCGCGCTTCCGTCGCGCACCTGGGCGCGTATATGACACATGCCCAGTAAAATGATCGTAATTTTCTGTATGCACCTCCAAATGAAAAACGGTTTGATGAGTCGGAAACTAGACTCAAAGATCTTTGATTCGATAGGTTGTGAGTCACACAAAACCTTTTATAACTGGAGATATGATTGTCCAAAGTGAGGTCTTGTGCGTACTCATTCACAACTTCAGTCCATTATGAAATTTTCCAACTTGGCTTAGACTTAGGCCTCTCCTTAGACCCCAAATCACTTATAATATGACTTATACGCTTATTAACATATCCAATTTATATCCATTATATCATGAATCCTCACTTGCACATAAAATAAAATAACTAGCCTACCTTGGCACCACGAAATCTTAAATTACTTAGCAATATTTTCTGGGGCTTTGCATTCTCCCCCTCTTAGGATCATTCATCCTCAGATGATAATTGGAGTCAATCCGCAAATACTTAATATAACTCATCTCCTTTCTCTTGCATCTTTAACTCCCAAATTTTGACTAACTCCCAAATTTTTCAGAAATTTCGGCAGAGTTTCCCTTGTAACTGAGCCTATCCAACTGTCAGAGAATCCAAGAAACGCATCCTATCAACATATACATAATCCAAAGATGCAACATAATATAAAATGATGCCAATCGTGGCCCCATAAGCAATGCATTTATAGAAAAGAAACACTATTATCATCAACTAACCATGTGATACATAATTCATAGAAGGTAAGCTTTCAACATCTTCATAGGACAGGAATACTTAATTACATAGCTATCCAAACAAGTGGGGGTACTTCTTCTTCATTTATTCCTCGGCTTCCCAAGTGGCTTCCTCACTTTGCTGGTTTCGCCATAACACTTTTACGGAGGCAATCTCTTTATTTCTCATCTTTTGGACTTGCCTATCAAGGATGGCAACTGGAATTTCTTTGTATGACAATTCTTCATTAACCTCAATAGACTCAATTGGCACAATAGTGGACAGATCTCCCACTACCTGTTTCAACATAGACACATGGAAGACTGGGTGTACCAATGACATCTCGGGTGGCAGTTCAAGCTTGTATGCCACCTGACCAATCCTCTGAACGATTTTGTACGGTCCGGCATACCTCGGACTCAATTTTCCCTTCTTTCCAAACCGCATGATACCCTTCATAGGGAAAACCTTAAAAAATACCCAATCATCTTCTTTGAACTCCAAATCTCTTCGACGAACATCTGAATAGGACTTTTGACGGTTCTGAGCAGTTTTCAACCGCTCCTTAACAATCTTAACCTTCTCCCTAGCTTGATGCACAAGGTCTGGCCCTATCAGCTTCCCCATCCTTGAACCACCAATGGAAGATCTACATCTGCTACTGTACAATGCCTCAAATGGTGCCATCTGAATACTAGCATGGAAGCTGTCGTTATAAGAAAACTCTATGTGTGACCAATGATCATCCCAGCTACCTTTGAAATCAAGAACACAAGCATGCAACATGTCTTCAAGCGTCTGAATGGCCCGCTATGCCTGCCCATCAGTTTGTGGATGAAAGATTGTACTAAGATTTACTTGAGTTTCAAACCTTGCTGAAGTTTCTTCCAAACGTTTGCCGTGAATTGAGACCCTCGATCTGAAATGATTGAGACTGGAGTGCCATGCAATATGACTATTTCTTTGATATACAACTGAGCATACTATTCTGCTATGTCGGTAGATTTAACTAGCTAGAAGTGTGTTGAATTCGTGAGTAGGTCCACAATCACCCAAATTGAGTCAAACTTGCATAGAATGCGCGGTAATCCTACCACAAAATCCATATTTATCATTTCCCATTTCCACATTGGAATTTAAATGCTTTGTAACAATCCTCTAGGCCTTTGATGTTCAGCCTTCACTTGCTGACAGTTCAGACATTTTGCCATAAAGTCTGCCACATCCTTTTTCATGTTATTCCACCAATAAACTTCTTTGAGTTCATGATACATTTTTGTAGAACCTAGGCATACGGAATACCTAGAAGTGTTAGCTTCCGCCAAAATCCTTTCCCGAAGACTATCAATATCTGGAACACATAGGCGCCCTTGTCACCGTAGGATACCATCACCAATGCCAAAAGAAAAAGTTGTGGTCTTGTGTTTATGAATTCCCTCCTTCAGCTGCTCTAAAAATGGATCATTGTAATGCTTTTCTTTGAACTCCACTACAAGCGACGATTCAGCCATATTCTGCACAATTACTCCCCTTTCGCTAGAGTCCGCAAGACGAACTCCTAGACTAGTCAACTGGTGAGCCTCCCTGGCCAACGATCTTTGATATACCTTCAAATGAGCCAAAATTCCCATCGATTTTCGGCTAAGAGCATCCGCCACAACATCGGCCTTTCTCGGGTGATAGAGAATCTCAATATCATAGTCCTTGAGTAACCCGAGCCATCCTCTCTGTCTCAGATTAAACTCCTTTTGTTTAAAAAAATATATTGAAGTCTCTTATGGTTCATAAATACATCAACGTGGACCCTATACACATAATGTCGCCAAATGTTTATACAAAACTACCGTAGCAAGTTCTACGTCATGTGTCGAATAGTTCCTTTCATGATTCTTGGGTTGCCTTGAAGCATAAGCGATCACCTGTCCATGTTTTATCAATAGTAGACCATCTATGTCATATTTATCTTACATATGACCTCCTAGGATTTGAGTTCTTCAATAATTTTCTTTATATGGTTACAATCTTATGTGAGTACTTGCAACTTG